CACACAAAACTAAATTCCAAATGGATCAAAGATATCAACATAAATCTTCATACACTGAGCCTGCCAGAAGAGAAATTAGGAAATAACCTTTAACTCATTGGTGCAGGAAAAGACTTTCTGAACAGAACACTGTGAGCACAGGTACCAAGATTAACATTTAATGAATGGGACCTTGTGAAAGTGAAAAGCTTCTGCATGGCAAACGACACTGTCATTCAGGATACACTGGTAGCCTACAGAATGGAAAGATTTTTTTTTTTTTATTAACTACAAATCCAACAGAGGGTTAATAGTCAAAATACACAATGAATTCAAAACACTAGATATCAAGAAAGCAAATAACCCAATTAAAAATAGAATTCAGTTCTAAACAGAATTCTTAAAACGGGAAAGTCACATAGTTGAGAAACACTTAAAGAAATATTCACCACCCTTAGCCATCAGGGAAATACAAATCAAAACTACTGTGAGACTTCCTCATACACCAGTAAGAATGCCCAAGACCAACCTAAGAAGTGACATCTCATGCTTGTGAATATGTTGATTATCCATTGCTGGTGGAGGTGCAAACTCATACAACCACTATGGAAATCATGCTGTGATCCTTATTAAGAAAGGCCAGATCTTGCTGAAGATCTGGCTATACAACTCTCAGCATATACCTAAAGGATACTCTATCCTACCAAATGGACAATGATCAACCATGTTCATTGCTGCCTTTTCAAAATAACCAGAAACTGGAAACAACCTAGATGTTCGTCAACAGAAGAATGGATAAAGAATATGTGGTACACTTACAAAAGGTAGTATTCCTCAGCTGTTAAAAATGAAATTTGCAGGCAAATAATGGAACTAGAAAAAAGCATCCTGAGTGAAGTAAGCTAGACCAGAAAGACAAATATGGTATGTATTTCCTTATGTGTGGATATTAGTAGCAAAATAAATGATAACCAAGCTACAATCCATAGAAACACAGAGGGTAAATATAGAGTAAGGGAACAGATCTCATCAGGAAAAGGAAATTATATAGAGATAGAGAGTGCATTTTAGGCATGGTAAGACTACAGGGTAACACTTATCCCCTATGTTGGAAAAGGGACAAAAAGGTAATTACATGGATAAAATGGTTGAGAGTGTCAAAAAGAATAGGTTGCCTGAGTACATGGCATATAGATTAGGAAAAAGTCTACCTTTTCTCTAGCGGGGACTATAAATGTAAGCACAGATTTACAACTGGTATATTGGACTTGTGGGTTTTACTTCACATGACGTAAGAATAGTCATTGGCATAGAAGCATGCTGATATGCATATATACAAAAATGTTAAACAAAAAAGATCATACGAAAAGAAATATTAAAACTTATTTAGTGGCACAGAGTTCTCACCAATAGCAACATGGCTCTTTTATTTGTATTTATTGTTTTTATTTGTGTGTATACTTGTGTGTAAATGTATACATGTATGTATTTGTGTATATGTATGTATGTAGGTATGCATGTGTGTGCATATAAATGTATTGTGAAGTGAGAGAGAGAAAGAAAGGGAGAGAGAGAGAGAGAGAGAGAGAGAGAGAGAGAGAGAGAGATCAGAAGCCACAGAGCATATACCAAGGATTGCCCAAGTGTTTGGAGGTCAGAGTACAACTTTTATAGTTAGCTTCTTGCCTTCCAACATGGTTAATTTAAAATAATAATAGTTATATAGTAGAATAGGCCCAAACAAAGAAGACAGGGCATGTCATAATTACACTTTGAAAGTAAAATGTTGAGAAAAATGGAAAGAGGGTCGGGCGTTGGTGACGCATGCCTTTAATCCCAGCACTCGGGAGGCAGAGGCAGGTGGATCTCTGAGTTCAAGGCCAGCTTGGTCTCCAGAGTGAGGGCCAGGATAGGTTCCAAAGCCACACAGAGAAACCCTGTCTCAAAAATCGAAAGAAAGAAAGAAAGAAAGAAAGAAAGAAAGAAAGAAAGAAAGAAAGAAAATGGAAAGAGGAAATTCTTTGTTGTTTGTTACTGAACAACAGAATTGTTTTTTGAGATTTATATTTGTGGGGCTGCAGGTTACAATCCTACAGACCAAATGAAATCCAGGGGCTTTCAGTATGATTTGTGAAGGTAGACTGCAGCTACAGTTATGCTTCACAAACAGCTCTTTAAAACATATCATGTTGCATAAAACTACATCATAATTTAGATTTATATCATTGAATGACTACTGAAATATTTATTTAGTTTTGAAGTCACTTCTCCTGATAGAGCACCTGTAGCAATTGTCTAAAAAGTGTCCTTCAGGCATCTGTAGGTATGCCAATAGCCATTTAGGGAGTCTATGAGCTTTAAACCATTTCATAATAACACTAAAACTTTATAGCCTTTCACTTGCAACATCCCAAGAGTTTGAAGTGGGATTTGATGGAGAGTCCAGAAAGCATAACATTATTGTAAAATGTGCAGTGTCAACGTTTGCAATTTTTGCATAATTCAGAAGTGAAAGATGGAGAGAAATAACTGGATGTGGGTACTGAGAACAGTGGATTTCTGCATGAAATACTTTTAAAAGTAGAAACACACACACACACACACAAATACACAAATTTATATACACACAAAATCTGTTTATTTGACCCCTTATTTTCATAACACTTGAGAACATGAGTGGAGATCATTATGTACCTGAGGCCACAGAAAAGAGCAGTAATGGAGAAATAGGCAATATGTTTAGAGACCAAGCATATTCTCATCTCCATAAATGCTCTATTTGAAGATTTTTTTACATTTTATTTATTATCAAAAATTATGTTTATGTGAGCCCAAGTTTTTACATAAGTCCTAGGATTTGCTCTAAGGTCCTCATGAATGCACAGCAAATGCTCTTGCCTACTGAACTGTGTCCAGCCTCTAAGGGTTTTTAAAGTACAAAATAAACTGATAGAATTTCTGCACTACTCTTTTATTCTGCCTACGGGGATTTTTGGGGAAAAATGAGGAAGGAGCAGACATCCTCAGTCAACAACACTGAATCAAATATGGCTTGTGATTTCTTTGTTTGCTTTTTCTGTACCTAAAGGCTACAGCATCCAACAAGGCATTGGCAAAGAGTCAATGCATTGAAATACTGAATGCTAATTCTTGAACTGTAAAAAATACAGACACAATGCAGAATGCAGTGTTACTTAAGTAAGTGTAATGTCATGTTTACTATATTTTTGTGGTATCAGTTTTCTTATTTGTGATAATAAACTTTTTATCTCATTCAAGTATACTTCCCCAAATCTTTCACATAAATAATTTTTTATTAATGCTACTTGACACACTGTGGTTTCAGTTTCAGAAGGAGGAGCTTTCTAATATTTTTTGTTTAAATAGTGATCCTCCAGTCAGTATACATTCTCTACACAACTGCCTAGAACGACAAGTCAGCTGTTTTGGTGTGTTTACATAAAAAATAGCAGCTCAATGACTTTATAATCATACTCATCTTAAGAGTAAATCATAAAATTACTGTACTAAACAAAGCTTGTTATTGGAGATTAAGTCAACGACTTCCAAATTACTGTAGACATGCAGATGCTTCTCAGAAGGAAGCTGGGAACCCCATGGGTATTTGAGAGAGTGCCAAAGGAACACAGGGATGAACTGAAGGCTTTGAATAACTATATGTGGGAAGGGAAAGGATCCACTTGGCTGGTGTGGTTGGCAAGAGTCTTCTGACTCTGGAATTTCAACACAAAGCCTCTTGCATTTGTATTCAGAAATAGTACATGAGAATATTGACATAGCAACTCTTTCCTTCTTTACTAAAGCCAAATGAATGATCCTCAAGTGTTTTCACTCCTAACAAAGTCACAAGCAGTATAGTGAAACTCTGGTCAGAAACACAGTTCAACCTCCAGAAAGCAGATGGTCATATTTGCAAGACCCTGTCAGCTTCCCAATAGATCAGTCATTCCTGTGAGTACTGGAGGATGAAGAATAGAATTGGGGTCATAGTTAATATTTATGTGGCAAAGAGAAATCAAGAACAAGGGTGTATTATAAATAAGTTCAAATATAAGTCTCCTATCAGATGTGGTTTATTAAAACGGGATGATCTTTTTGAATATGACAGTTGTTACAGGAACAAAACAAGCAACAATACTTCTGGACTGTTCAATGTTTATAGAGTTGCAAGCCCTTGCCAAAGATAACCTTTTGAGGACTAAGCAGTAGTGGGGGGAATAAAGTGTCTTTTTTAGGATGCTAAGTAAATATTTTCCTTTGCTACATATGCTTTCTCCTAGGAGGAATATGTAGTCAGAAACAAGATGTTTTTGTAGAGCCTGTAGTGACTAATGTTTGTGGAGAGTAGAGAAGTATCAAGATAGACTCTGACCATTGTTTAACCACTCATGTTTCTAAATTCATCAGTTGTTCAGAGCTATATAGTTGAAGTCACTGCTATAAATGCATTCTACTAGCTACAAGGTTAAAAATTTTCTTCATCTAAAAGGAATTTCCTTACATACAAAGAATTACTAAAGTAAACCTGCTACTCAGAGACATGTATTAAGAACATATATGATAAGGATGGAAGAAAGCCTCAAAATAGCATTAAGAATAGTCTTTCTTTAATTTATGAATCTTTTTTGAGGACATGTAAATATTCTAAAAATAACCTAGTGGTAGAACCCAGAGAATTTATCAAACATGCCTGTTCAAGGTCATTCAATCAAAAATAGTGAGTGGTAAACTGTCAATAATTTAGGCATGTAGAAAACTTGCTGTGTTGAGTAAGGGCTTATTCGGCCAGGTATGTTATTTCAGAATTATAGTAGTTGTTTGACTGTTAAATGCAAATCATCAGTTTTTCACACAATAAATGATACTTTAATTATTGAGAGAAGTCTCAAACTGTGGAAAATGTAATTGATGCATGAATTTATGTTCTCATTTCTACTTGTTTATATACCCAGCCATTTACAATATGGAAAACAAAGATGGTGGGAATCCCCATTACTCACTCTAGTTGTATAAGCAGCTTCTGGGTCATCTTCAAGCACCCGAGAGAGTCCAAAGTCAGAAACTTTACACACCAAGTTACTGTTGATCAAGATGTTCCGAGCAGCAAGGTCCCGGTGGACATAGCCCATATCTGAAAGGTACTTCATACCTGATGCTATCCCACGAAGCATTCCCACCAGCTGGATGACTGTGAACTGGGCATCATGTTTCTGAAATGCATTTGCAGCACAGGCTAAAATATGTTCCTTTTACTTTACAATTTCATATGTCAACGATTTTCATTATTGACTCTACACATTTTAACTAAAAATACATAATACTACCATGATATTTAGACAAATGAGTTCATAGCTAACACAAAATTTATAGTGTTTGCATTACCCATACAGTATCATATAATCTGAATTCAGTTAAAAAGTAGAATTGTCTTGATCTTTGTATGATACACAAGGTCCTTCTCAAAACCAAAGTTCAAAAACAACAACAACAAAATAAATAGATACCATGACAATCTCAATATGATAGTCATTTGATTGAAATTTCATTCTTTTCTCTTGTTAAAGTTTTAATAATCATCAAAAATAATTATATATAAGAAAGATGTGTTTATCTAATTTTTATGGTTTGGCATGATCCTTAGTTATTGCTAATCAAAGAAATTATGATGAAAGATAAAATCATAAAGTCACATAGAAACAGAGAAACATTCCAATACACTTGTATTTAAATAGTAATATATAGTATTAAAGTTGTGATTTGGGACAATACAAAAGACTTATGCATTTTTAAAAGTCCCATTATACAAACCAATTTGGAGTTACAAGATAAAGATGAACTTTTAGAATTTTCCCATTGCTAAGTCATCTTCAACTATTACTTGAGATTTAGACATCAAAATGCTTAGCACAGTATTAAAATGTATCTAATATTTTCTATAACATCCCAATATGTATATTTATATACACTATATCACATAAACACATAAACATACATATAATATTTTACTCACACGTAAGAAACTATCCAGGGAACCATTCTCCATGTATTCTGTAACAATCATCACAGGCTTACCTAAACATACAATAATTGATAAATATATATTCATCAGCACACTTAGTTGGCATAATATATATATATATATATGTATACATATATATATATATATTTCACACACACACATATATATATATATATATTTCACACACACACATATATATATATATATATTTCACTTCAAAACATCTAATAAACAGGAAACTTTTGTATCTTCTAAACATCACAACATTGAAATAAAAACAACAGTGGCTCAAATAAAAATTTTTAAAATGCAGAAGGCTAGGTTCTAGAACAAAAGCCCATAACCTACTTTATCTAAATTAAATTATTTATTATAGTGTTTAAGAGCCATACAATATCCAACTATATCCCTTTATTCTTTTGCTTATGAAGTATTTTTAAGAAGCCAACATTTTGTCTCCAACCTCATTGTCTTAGTGGAATTCCTGTTCCTCTGATAAAAACACATTTCCAAAAGCCAATAGGGTTTTTTAATTTAATTTAATTTTAGCTCACAATTCTACACCACAGCCTATCATTGTGTGGAAGACAGCAGTTATTGCAACAATGAGTTGTTGTCACAGATAAGAGAACTGAGAGATACTGAATGTATGCATGCCAGTGCACTTTTTCCCTTTTCAAAAGGGCAGGACCCAAACCTAAGACTTGATGCCACCAACTTTAGGCTGGGTCATCCCACACCTAGAAGCATAATCAAGATAATCTCTCAGAGTTCATGTCATCCAGATAAGTTCCTCATTGAGACTCTCTTCAGGGGTGATTCTAGACAGTGGCAGATTGACAATTAAAACTATTCACCACATTGAGGACACTCAGGAATTTGGTGTTCTGGCCTGTAGCAATTGTGGAGCAATAAGTTGTTCATCAGGCTCACGTGAATCCTCCTAGTTTCTCTTCTCCCCCTAAATTCAATGTTATTATGCCACCCTTAGCTACACTTTCAGGTAACAATATATTTCATATAACACAATATAACTGGTCCTCTTCCAATTATAGAAGGCCCAAGATTGGTCAGAACTGAGAGTTCTTAAAAATCCTTACATATGTAATAGGCTTTGACTAAACAAGCATGTTCATCTAATTGTTTGACACAGCCATGAGCTTCTTTCCTTCTAAGAATCTTCTCTGATACGAGGATACGTTTATGTTTGTTTGCTTATTTTTACTTCTAATTTCTCCCTGGTATGTTTTTTTCGTTTTAATTAATTTTGATTATTTTAAAAGTATTAGGCCTGTTTTATGTTTTCTTCCTTATGGTTTTAGTTACCTTATTTTTATTTTTAAGACAGGCTCTCATATATTTTAGGTGGGTCTTGAACACACTATGCAACATAGCCTGACAACGTACTTCAGATCCCACCTCCTTCCAACTTCTGAGTGTTCCTTGTGTGAACATCTGTCGCATTCAGTTGCTCCAGTACTAGGGATCAGACCTCTGGCTTCATGCATGCTGGAAAGCTGTCCATCAACTAAGCAACACTCTTAGCTACTTTGGAGGCTGTCTTGGAACTAGTTATTGTAGACCAGGCTGGTCTCAAACTCACAGAGATCTGCCTGCCTCTGCATCCTGAGTGCTGGGATTAAAGGCGTGTGACTCCAACACCCGGCTTTACTTTGCCATTTTGATTCTACAAACTATCTTCATTTCTTTACACTTTTCTTTTGTTGGTAAATATTGACACTGAATACTAAATCAGTACCATGCAGTTTCTCTTTATGGTGCTTAATAGATTGAATCTGTAGTAATAATTTTATTTAATTAAATATACAAACATTTACATTATATAAAAATTCTAGATAATTTTCACATATATTATTTTCATCAGATGGAGTGTCTTACTTGCATCAAGGCTTTGCTTTATTTACAGTGTTCAGGTGCCACACCAATGTATCTCCTTGATCTAGTCATATCTAAAAAATATTTTAGTCAAAATCTTCATCATTTATGGCTTGCTTTTACCAAATTCTAGGACAGTTCTTTTCACAGCCCTGTCCTGTAGTAAAATAAATGATTTAAGGAATGAATGAAAAGAAACCCTGCTCCTCCTAAGTCTCTACAGATCATTATCAGGGTCTGTGCTCCTTCATTATATATTTCTGGGGAGAATGATATGTTACCAAGCTTGAGTATATGCTTCAATATTTGTCGACAACACTGCTTCCTTTGGCTGGTTACTGTATTTGTCTACCACTCAGCTCTCTGCTTATCACTGATTTCCTCTGGCTCTCAGCCTTATGGCCATTTCAATTCTCATTAGCATGTCTTGTAAAATGTTTGGCAAGGGAAATAAAAGTAGCTAAAAAGTCAAGCCAGTCAATTAAGCAATGGCCCCATGACCATTTAGAAATCAGATCAGGCTGCCTTTGGTTCTTCTAATTTAGGTATTTGTAAACACTTCAGTTAAGATAGGCAAGCCGGGAAACATGCTTTGCATTAAGTTCAAAGATCTGGCAACCCAAGTGGACAGACAAAGAGCAAACAAAATCACTTGGAAAGCAATATCTTAACTCAAGAATTTCCTTTGTGATCTCGATAAATATGCTTAGAAACAAAGACTCTGAAGTAGTGGTGAGAATTTGCTATAGTATGCACTAAATGTAGTGGGAAACAATCTACAAATGTCAGCTCATCTGCACATTATGCAGCGTGCTGGTACTAAGGTTTGCACAACTCATCTTCTGTGATTTGATTAGCACACAACACAATCTGCTTCCCCAAATTGGAGCCTGTATCATTCATTGTTGTGAGAGAACCCCAAAAACGTAGCTGGGGATATGCACTAGGCCCAGTCGAAATTCAATCCTATGAGTGGCTGAAGAGTCTCCATCAAAAACGACCAAGACAGATTTCACAGTGCAGTTTCATTTCTGCTTCTAAATTTACTCACTATAGAAAGAAAATGGTTAGGGTTGGGGGTGGGGCAGGGGAGAGGTAGTCTCTCACAGTTGTACAGTAACAGGATCAAGTTGGTCTGGTATAATAAGACCATTTCCCCAACTATCCACAGCAGCTCAGAGATATGAGAAATCACTTAATCACTGCCTAATGCCAATATCGAAGCCTTCCAGATTTAGCCATGTATATTAAGGACTACAGCTACTCTAACCACAATTTCCATGAAGACAAGATTTGGATGCTGTAATATGTTGGTTGTAGTCATATTGTCTTCACAAATTCCTTATCTTAGTTTTGGGGCTGAGATAGTTACAATCAAATTTAAAAATATTTATCAGCACTAAGGTATTTAAGGAAATGCTAGTGGCCCGGAAACAATACCAATTATGTCTAACACTAAATATGCTATTTCTGTCTTGTATATGCTGTTTACTGGTCTGTTTTGAGACAAGCCTTGCTGTGTACCCTGGCTGGCCTGATGCTTTCTGATTGGCCTGAAACTCGTGGCACTCTTGCATGAGCTTCTTGCATAGTTGGTTTGTAAGTGGGTATACAATAAAAACCACTGTCATTAGCAGACAGGACTTGTTCAGTGATACTAAGTTCTCTGATACTAAGTAATCAGAGAATATTAGAAAAAAACGGAGAAGGAAATTGGAACAAATTCCAAAAAAAATACTTCCTGGTATTTTTGAGACAGATGATATACATGTTGATTTTCCTTTGTATATAATAAATTGATACAAATATGGTAACAAATTAAATATGTTTAATTCTTATTGGACCATTACAAAAACATAAGATATCTTTTTTTTTTCCAGACAGGGTTTCTCTGTATTGCTTTGGAGGTTGTCCTGGAACTTGCTGTGTAGACCCGACTGGTCTCGAAATCACAGAGATCTGCCTGCCTCTGTCTCCTGAGTGTTGGGACTAAAGGCGTGTGCCACCAATGCCAGGCTAAGATAACATTTTTATTCCATTTTAACAAGTATTCTTCTCTTGAAATAACCACAATTTTAGCCACTAATGTGTGTGCTAATAAAAGCAGAGGCCAACCCCATTTGAATTATGTTGTAGCTCCATGGCCAAGCACTAAGACAGTGACAATTGCAGAGGTCATTTCATTGGGATTTGGCTAAGGATGACTCCTGATTTTTCTGTGTAGAATCTGAAACCTTAGCTCCAAGAATTCCTTAACAATCACACTCATCATCTTAACACTGGATCTTTACATTCAACTGATATTAAAGTATGCATGTTTTATTTAAAAAATACTGGGTGTAGTAAATTTATCTGTGTATATGCATACATGTGTACATTCATGAGGAGGACAAGCATCAGTTTCATATCTGTTCTTCTATTGCTTTCTGCCTAAGTTTTTTGACACTGTCTTTTCACTGACCCTGAAACTCACTGATTCAGCTAGAATTAAATAAGAGCAAGCTCTGGGGATCTACTGGTCTCTACCACACAACCCTTTTACCCCAAGCAACTGAGTTCACAGCTGTGTGAACAGCTGCCACACCAACTCTTACGCTGGTGCTGGAGATCCAAACCTGAGTCATCATCTTTGTGTACCAGAACTTTACTCACCAAGCCATATCCCCAGCCAATTATATTTAAATATTTTCTATGGATACACGTTAAATAAGCCACTAAATTAGTTTATTTTCTGAAGATATTAATACTTTTATTCTTTTTAACAAAGCAAAGTAAGAATTTCCAATTATTAATTATTAAGCAAATAATTAAGCAAATTAGAAAAAAACTAAACTTGGGCATAAATATACTACATTTTTGTCTGTCTCTTCATTATTCCCATTAATAACTCTTTTGTTTGTACATTTTTAGACACAGCTTTATAATTTTTATTATTAGATATTATTCTGCACTGTCCTTGGTTTCTACTTTTCTTCCTTTAAGAAAGTAACCTTTAGCCAAGTAGTGGTGGCTCACACCTTTAAAACCTGTCTAAAGAAAAGAAAAGGAATGAATTGATGCCCTTTGAAATGCAGATCTCAGGTCCCAGGAATCATGATGTAACAAATTTTATAAGTTGAAAATATTATTGCATGTTATTAATTGTTCGAGAATTTTA